TTTGGCTTTGGTGGTTGGTGCATAAATTTGAATAATAGTCATATTAATGGGTCTTCCTTGTAGGCGTATGGATATTATCCTATCACTGACAGCATGGTACTTCAGGACAGATCTTGAAACATCCTTTGTGATAATGAATGCCACAGCATTCCTCTTCAAACCGTCATTCCCAGCATAATAGATCATATAGTTATCTGATTCAAAATGGCCAAAACCAGTCCATTTCAGCTCACTAATGCCGAGGATATCAATCTTTATGCGTTTCATTTCATTTTTTATAACTTCCAATTTTCCTAGATTCATACTTCGTATATTCCATGTTCCAATGATTAATGAATGTCTGCAGCTGTTTCTCCTCAATTTGAGTGGTGACACATCAGCAAATGGAGGTCTCGAAAGCTTTAGCTTATCCATATGAGTAAGGCTGGGTTTTACTCTGATGATGCAGCTCTATCCCAGTCCTATTTTGAGAGCCTTATAGCCTAACCAGACTATTCATAAAGTTGCAAATGTATCAGACAGTTTCTTTGTTATTCATAAGGTTTTCCCTGGCCAATTCTTTGAAAAGTGGACAGCCTCTTCCTTCTTCCTAGTCTGTCTCAGTCTGTAAGCTTGGCTGATACCTGTGTACCATGTTCATTGTTCTGGGTTTGAAACACCAGTGGCTCAGCCTCAAAATTCACATCAACACGTGACCATGGTAGGACAAACCAACAGACAAGTTCGTCTCCGTGTTGGAAACCTCTCCTACCACATCATTAGACACATCATTAGGCAGTTGTAACCATGCAGCACGATCTGATTAGGTGGACACATCAACAGACAGTCATAACCACACATCACTGTCATATTGGGTAAACACCTTGACAGGTGGTGGTGACAACCCAGCCACCCATCAGATTGTGCAGGCACATCCACAGGCAGTCATAACCATTCAGCACCATTGGGTTGGCAGCATTTCCTAGTTGGATAATGGTCATTGTTGTCAAGGGATCAATAAAAACACTCTCATACATCATCCTTGAGAAGAGTTTAGAGAAGAATTGGCAACATCTTTTTAAATGTAAGTGTCCATAACCATTGACCTAGCAGTTCTGTTAGGAACTCAATCTTGCAGTCACTTACCAATTATGGACAAAGGGTGCTCACTGCAGCAGGTTTGTCATTTTAAAAAAGTATTTCAAACCTGAAAGCAACCCGAAAGTCCTCCTATATTAAATCTATCAAAGAAATTTTGGTCTATGCATATATTGGACCATGATGCAGGTATTGCAAAGGAAGGAAGATGAGGTAGAAAAGCAGCTGCCAGCAGAAAGTAGGCATCTCTCCTGGTGGGTGATGCATGTTTGCAGGGGCCATTTGTCTGGTGTAGGCTGTGCACACAGCATTCCTGGGTTTCTCCAGATCATACAAGAGCCCCTTCAGGAGCTGGGGAGGAAGGTGATGGTCTTATCTGTACTGTTCATCTTATTTCTTTCTGAGCAGTTCAAATTTTACAATGTATGCTTATAACTCTTATTGTTTACATTAACCATTAAAATAACCAGTTATAAAATATTACTCCTTTTTGATTTTTCTGGTCATTTTAATTAATTTGACTTTAAATAGACACATGTCGCCAGTGATGACTGCTTACAAAGCACAGCCTGAGAAAGTTTTCCATATGCCATTTTCTAATTAGTCCCTGTTCTCTGGAGGTGACCACTGTCCTGATGCCTGTCTCACAGATGGGCTGCGCTTGCCTTGACCTGATACCAGTGGAATCACTAAGTATGTCACCTTCTGGGTCCAGCTTCTTTTACTCAGCAAAATGTCAGGAGAGTCATCCATGATATTGTGTGTATCACTAACTCATTCCTTTCTATTTCTGAGTAGCATTGCAATGCACAAGTATACGTCTATTGATTTATCCACTTTCCAATTACTCTATGGATATTTGGGTAGTTTCCAATTTTTTTCTCTCTTATGTAAAGCTCAGGTAACATTCTTGAGCATGTCTTACTGTGGATGTATTTTCTTAGATCTTTGGGGTATGTAACCAGATGTGGGCTTTCCGGCTCACATGGACAGCTTGAGTTCAGCAGTGATCTTTGTGTGTGTGATTCTGCTTCACTGGGTCCCAGTCATCCCCCACCCTGGGAAGCCAGCCCTCCTCCCTGTCTGCCTCAGACCTGACAGCACACCTCCTCCAGGCAGTATTCCTTTCTGACCCAGCCCAGCCTGCTCTTGGCCCTGCTCTGAGGCCCCTCCATGACAACCATCTACATTGTGTTCATGGGTTATATTCTTTGCATTCCCAAGAGGCTTCAAGGTGCTGTTGCACCAACCCCACTGTGAACAGGCCTTGCCAGTGTGCAGAAAAATTGTGCAGGGCTTCAGCATTTCCTTGATATATTTTCTACCACTTTATGTTGCACATCTTGACATTTTGTTTTATACTAAATCTCAAGTCATTTGTGTATCATCCAGGGTAGAGGGTAGGGGGTCCTGGATCCTCTTTAATGACAGAAACTATGTCTTACCACTTGAATGCATGACTGCCCCAAAAGAAGGGGGCTTTGTCTCCTCCCTCAGACAGAAGCTGCCCTAGGATAGGGCCTGTCCCCTGCATCTGTTAGCCCCAATTGGCCCTTCTGCCTCCCACATTAACCAGGCCTCCTTGTCCTCCCCCTCCAGGTCCCTGGCTATCGGGCACCAGTACTCCTCCCTGGGCACACAGCCCATCCTCTGTGCCAGCATCCCTGGCCTAGTGCCCAAGCAGCTGCGCTTCTGCCGGAACTATGTGGAGATCATGCCCAGTGTGGCGGAAGGTGTCAAGATAGGCATCCAGGAGTGCCAGCACCAGTTCCGTGGCCGCAGATGGAACTGCACAACTGTCAACAATAGCCTGGCCATCTTTGGGCCCGTGCTGGACAAAGGTACTTGAGGTAGCCCCTGAGGGATATTAGGGAGGGTGAGTGGGGGCAAGTTGCTAGCTGTTTGGTCACTTGCTTGCAGGGCAGGCCATGTGCCCATCACTTCCTTTTGCACACAAGGCTGTGGGAAAGAGGGTCTAGAGCCAAGGATCTGGGTTTAAGTCCAGCTTCTCCTGCCAGTGGTGATGGAATGTGGGACAATTCATTTTGCCTCCCTCTGCCTCAGTGTTCTCATCTCTGAACAGAATAAAATATCTCTCCATGTAGAAAATGCTCCACAGTTGACCATTATTATCATCAATTTAAAGCTTCCTTTCCCCATGCTTAGCAGCTCTGAATGGGGCTTTTGGAGCTTAGGAATTGTGTTGATACATAGGGTCATCCAGATCCCCAGATACACCTCCTTCTTCCTCCTTTTCTCCAAGATGAAAGTGGGATGCTCTAGGGGAACAAAGGCTAGTCACTGAAGGCTTCTTGAAGGAACCAGGGCTTCATGCAGGTCTTGGAGAGAAAATGCAAAGAAAATACAAGAAGGTATTGGATTAGTGGTTTGGAGGCACTCTGGGGAGAAACTGCAGCAGATGGACAGGAGCTGTCCAGGGTCCTGGAGCCATGGGTTTATTTTGAGAACGAGAGAAAAATGAGAAGCTCTGGGTATTGGTTACTCAAGGCCGAGTTATCTATTGCCGAAAAAAAATATTATCACAAAATTTAGTGGTTTATAACAATAATAATCCTGTGTATGCCTCACAATTTCTGTGAATCAGAAATACAGCAAACCAGCAGGCATGACTGGTCTCTATCCCTTAGCTGTCCTCAATCGCTCCAACATCAGGCTGCCTGCTGGCCTCTCTAGGTGACCAGAGCTTCCATACCATTGGATTACAATGGCAGAGAGAGAGAAAGAAAGACAGAGAGTACCAAGTGGAAGCTTTATCACCTTTTTGTATATTGAGATGAAATTCACATAGCATACAACTAACCATTTTAAAGAGTATAACTTAATGGCATCTACTACGTTTTATCTAGCTCAAAAACATTTTCATCACCCAAAAAGAAAAGCCTGTACCCATTAGCAATAATTCCCCATTATCCCCTTCACAAGCCTCTGAAAATCGCTAATCTGCTTACTGTCTATATGGATTTACCTATTCTTGATATTTCATATAAATGAAATCATACATGTGATCTTTTGTGTCTGACTTCTTTCACTTAGCATAATGTTTTCAAAGTTCATCCATATTGTGGTATGTATCAGTACATCTTTCCTTTATATGGCTGAGTATTATTCCATGGTATGATTATATCATATTTTGTTTATGCATTCATCCATTGATGGACATTTGGGTTGCATCCACATTTTGGCTATTGTGAATAATGCTGTTATGAACATTCATGTGCAAGTATTTGTTTGAATACCTGTTTCAATTCTTCTAGATATATACATAGAAATAGAATTTCTGGGTCATATGGTAATTTTATATTTAGGTTTATGAACACCAACCAGTTTTCCACAGTAGCTGTACCATTTTACTTTCCCACCAGCAATGTATTTGGGTTCTACTTTCTCCACATTCTCATCAACACTTGTTATTGTCAGTCTTATTTTAGCCATCCAAGTGAATATAGTGGTAACTCAGTGTGGTTTGATTTGCATTTTCCTAATGGTTAATGATGTTAATCATCTTTTCATGTGCTTTTTGGTCATTTGCATGTATCTGTGGAGAAAGTCTATTCAAGTCCTTTGCCTGTTTTCAAATTGTATTGCTTGTCTTATTGTTGTTGACTTGTAAGAGTTCTTATATATTCTGGATGCTAGACCCTTATCAGAAGCTCTGGTAGCATAGTGCCTAAGGCATTTGACTAGTAAACAGAAGGCTGTCGGTTCAAACCCACCAGCCACTCCTCAGAAGGAAGGTTAGGCAATCTACTTCCATAGTAATACTGCCTCAGAAACCCAAGGAGGGATTGCTATGAGTCGGGTCTGACTCGACGGCGCATAACAACAACAACAACAGACCCTTCTCAGATATATAACTTGCAAATATTTCCTCCCAGTTGACCCTTGCCTTTCTTAATGTATTTTATCCTCTAGGTTTTAATTTGAATGCAGTAAAATTGATTTATGA